TGGGAAGCTATCATGAAGAAAAGTATTCTATACTATACTTGATCATACAACATCAGAAATATAATGTTTTTGAGCTTTTGACATAACTACAGAGAAGAAAAAAAAAAGATAATTTATGTAATAGTATATTGATTTAAATCAAAAGTTGTCATACTTCCAAAGCATACACGTCCAATCTAGTCAGATAGCAGGTCATGGTTTAACAATTATAACTAAACACTATTATATTACAAAAACACTGTATGACTCACATTATGTTGATATAGTCATAATTCTCTTTCGTTTTAAGTACATAATTGTTTCATTATAAGAGTTTAATGCGTTTGGTTTAAATGCTATAACCTTATACAAAGTTGGCGTACACAATCTCCAAACAGGCCACAAATGTTAAAAATAAAAGTTGTTTTTAGAGAAACGCGTTATGCGCTCGGAAACTATATCGGTTCTGTTTGTGAACTATCATTCCATTGATAACGTCTGCAACAATCAAATACTTCAGTATTTGTAGGATTTAAAATCATTTGACTTTTTGGTGATGATAATCTCAAGAAAGTTTTGAGCCAATGCACGCATAAATTCTAAATCAAGTCCTAAAATAAGGGTTTTACTTTTTATGACGAATCCATAAAGTATAATCGACAAAATTAACAATGCCCCAAAACAATGGCTGCTTATTAACCTTCGGATTTTGAGGTATATCAATCGTGACCCTGGTGAATTAAATAATCAACAAGGAATGGTAAGATCCTATATAATGCACTTGTATACAATACTAAATAAGTCAGATTTTGAAGATCAGCGATGTTAATTTTTGTAGCGGCTATGAAAAACAAAAACACCAAACGGATGTATTACATTTGGCGTCCATCGTCCGTAAACTTTTCACTTTTGAAACTCTACTTGAGAACCACTTAAAAGAATCGATATATTAAACTGTTATTTGTCTCCATTGTTGGAGCATATGATAAAAAGATCATAACATGTCATTTTTCATATCGGATGTATTATCAGCCCTCGGTCGATATCAGTCCAAGGCTCTTGAGCTGATATTGAACCATGGGCTGATAATACATTTGATATGAAAAATGCCATGTAATAATCTGATATTATGTAACATTCAGCGATATTCAAGATGAATTATAACTAAACACGAAGAAAAAAAATAATACTTGTTTCAAATTGCTTGTATTTCTTAAGATTCCGATACGCGATTATTTCCCGATGTTTTGATGTTCTGCACAATATTTTAATTTTCTATTTGCCTGAAAACTCAAATGTTTTTGATACTCTGTTTAAGTTACATGCACACTGTCCAGTTATCCTGGATATGAGTGCCAATGAGACAACTATTCACCAGAGTTCAAGTGATGTGATGTAAGGCCACGATATGCCAACGTACGACCTTCTACAATATGAAAAACCAATACCGTCTATTGAGCTATGAAGAGCCGCAGATGAAAGTCAACTTATTAGGCAGATTAAAGTCTTTCTGTTGTATCCCTTATTTCATGTTCAATGGAATAGATCCGTTTATCATAGTCACTAAACTGTCAATTGTTTAGTAAGATAAGACCATTTATATTGTTAATTCTTCCTTACAAACCTGTTCGTACATTTTTCATTGTTATTCAACGCAAAATAATTATCTTAGATAACAGGGACGATCTTATTTTATAAAGGATCTCTTTTGTTTACTTATTGTACCTCGAACTTATTAACCCGGTGTAGGTCTTTAAGTTGAGGTTCAATTTACTAAAAGTTAATCGGGCATGACTAATTAGACACGCCCTCTTAGAATCAGGGGATCCAACATAGGATCGGCTAAAACACAGCCAGCGAAATACCATAATTTACAATTTCAGAGAATCAAAGTGCTTTTGGTTGATTTAAAATCTCCGGTCAATAATCAGACGGTATTTGAGTGGAAATACAAACCTGTCCGAAACCGGGAAATGTTGGCTGCAATAGGAATTTATTTACAACATAAGTCCATATCTTATTTACTTATAGTGGCCGTTATTGGTTGTGAATGCATGTCGTTTTGTTTTTGGCATTCGTCTACCGTGGATAAAAAAGAGAGGAAGGGGGAAGGGGAGGATTAATAGCTTAACTGCTTCAGGTTGATCCAATTCGCATCTCATCGTGAATATGAATGACATATTTGCCACTGGACATTAAGGGTGCAATCAATTAATCAGCTTCATTTAGTGATGTATAACCATTAGTCTTCAGTTGATAATTATCTCAAAGAGTTTTTCAATTTTTATATATTTGATATTTATTTATAATTGATTTTTTAAATGTAAGTTTTAGCATTTCTTTCCTCATTTTTCTCTTTGCTTTTATTTTTTTTAACATTCAATAACGTAGTCCACACCAGGGGTTAAATTTCATCCTATCCAGCAAAACTAGGAGGAGGGGAGTGAATAGAAAAAAATCTTCATTGAGTGTCTAGAATTCATACATTGAAGCGTACAACGACGGCAGTCTCTTCTAGGTGACAAAATTTGCTGTTTTAAGTTTTTTTTATATCTTGTATAGTTGTCACAAAAGCAAAAATGGATAAAAACAAATGTTGGCAACAATTAATATTATATTAAGTATTCAACTTATATTGGCCGTTTCGTTTATTTTTTAGATATTGTCTTACTGATCGGTTTTGTTATTTGCGTATTTATACATTCGAATAGCCAAACGGACGCACCCCTTTAGCAAGGGTATACTGTCGGATGGGTGAAATCCAGATATGTCGATATGTCTATACCCAAGCCAATCCTTTGGTTTTGAATAAAAGGGAGATAAATGTATACATTAATGCGACAGCAACCCAACGACACAGACCAATTAAACATTAAGAGTCAACATACAGTCTTTTGTAATTAGAAAGATGCCTAAATAGAATAATAAGCTCAAAACCGCCCCATGACAACAATATACAGAGTTAATTTAATAATATTTACCGTCAAAGATATCCCAACGGGCACATTTGATTTAATATTATTTACCGCTAAAGATATCCCAACAGGCACAAGTGTTTGGTTAAAAATAAAACCTGCCTTTTTTAATTTCGATCGATGGAAATAAAAGAAGGTGTAATATAAACCAGTACAAGAAAAACACTTCACTGTAACGGTAAAATAAATAATGATAATGGATAACGTCAAGCGGCAAATTAAATGCATATTCAGGACGAAAACATGTAAATATAAAATAATTTTTTACCCTGCTTTGTACTAGACCGACACGCTGAGCCGGATTTTTAACGTGTAAGTTCACAAGCTAACCGTTCGCAGGATGAAAATTCACCCTACCCGGACACATTTCTGACTCCGAGCCGACCAGACTGTGCTCTTACTCATGAATGCCGCTTGTTTAGCGTTGAAACAAAAAATACTAATTTTAACGTCTTTGTTTAACATGGTCGGGATTTGAACCAACGACCTCCAGCTCTCGAGGCGAAAACACTCCCACGAGACCAACCAGGAGAGCGGTAGCATAGAATATCATACCAAAAACTCGAGTAAAAAAAAACAAAACAGTTTCACAGAATTCTCACAGTTACTAAAGCATGCTAAACGTATCTAACCTAAATGAGATGCGTTAAATTATATTTGAAACTACACGTGAATATCGATGGACGACTTCAGAGTAGATTTCATGGATCAACACTCTCTGCAAATTAAAAACTCTTGCACCAATTATTTGAGGGGTTCGGAGGTGGCCAGCTGTTGCAAGGCTAAATTTCTGTCCTTATTCAGTATACCCTCATTTTCCAGTGGTATTCCAAGTTTCAAGTCCAACCTATTGCAAGACCGAACTATTGTGTTTAAAATTTATGTGTTCTAGTCATAAACATGCATGAAATATTTTTTCACTTGGCGTAAAGCAAACAGCAACCAATCAACTTCATAAATTATTTCATGTACATAGTACACGAAGACAAGATCTTGTACAATGATATAATGTAAAATTTCCATTTAAATCTCTCAATAATAGTGCAAAAATGTTTTGTTTATCCTATAATCTATGATAAGTTTATTGATCAGCATTTAATATACTACATCTATGCAGAGTTAAGTATGAAGAATGTTTAGGAATTTGCAACTAACAGAATAATAAAAGGGATTTTATAATACAAATTGTATATATTGACATGTTAAAATCTATTTATAGTGTGTTGCAGATAACATGATTGAAAGTGTTAAAAAGTCTTGTTGAGTAGGGGTTTATGAGTTTGAGTACAGCTGTTATATAGTAAAAGGTTGTCGATAATCACTGTTACTTAGAAATTTTCTTCCAGTTGTCTAATGTAGAAATGGAGGTAACTGGTCATATGATATTGTAGACAATTTTTGTTATAGAATTCAAAGAAAAAAAAACCAATTTCCCCACTGTAATTCAAAAGGCTTCCATCCAGTTTCAATGTATAGTTATCAAAGGCAATACAAAGTCTATCCATTAGCTGAAAAAAACATTTATTTTTAAATATCGATTATACAGTTTTTTGAGGAATCAAATTTATTAACTACATGTAGTTATAAGTTTTTTGTTGTCAGGGCCATCATCTATTGATGTTTTATCAGCAGAAAGTCTGGAGAGACTTTAGCTATTATTCGCAATATCAATCTAACCAATGGTAAGCCAGTACAACATAGGTCGCCATAGGTAAATTAACCGCTTTACAAATCAAATCATATTGCATCAATTCAATGATCTGTGAATGTAATAGAAAAACAAAGGATATGGGGTATCCATCCATGACACAAAATCAGTACATACACAGCAAAAAACAAATAAAAAGCAAACGAACAGCACTTTCATTGTTATTCTTAATCTCAAAGTTACAGTAAGGCCTTCAACACGGAGCAAATAAACATTCACCTCAATGTACCGGAATTGTTTACGTTGATATATCTGAAAAACCAGCTTCACAATACTATCGTATGGTATCGGGGTGTTAAAATCTGTGACTAATAGTTAGTTGAGAATTGATATACAAATAGTTTAAACACATTTTATTGCCATGATTACACAAAAGGATATGAAACAAGTCGTTCCAATATACAAAGGTACTCTTCAGTTAATAAACAAGCAAAATAATACATATGCATCAGCAAATTATATATAACGAACTATCTTAAAAGACACAAGAATCAATTGTATGAATTAAAAATTAACTATTATTCGCAATATCATTGATATATACAATAAAACAAGAAAGGACCAAGAACAGATCCTTGCAGAACAGTATCTATTATGTTTCCTGAATCTAATAGACAATTCATTACCATTACTTTTAGGATGTCTGTCATTAAGATATACTTCAATACATTTAACTGACTGACAGAAATTCCATAGTCTTTTATGTTCTGGACTGATCCCTTATGTCAAACACGATTATTTTTTTTTAGAAATAACACAAAACAAAAACAAAAAAGTTTTTATTTTATCCTAGAGCCTATCCGATATGGTGATATATTTCTCTCATGGTTGTACTGTTGAATGACCATCCTCAAAGCCAGATGAATATCGATACACAAAAGCATCGTCTTTCAAATAGTTAAAAGGCAAAATAACAAAAATACCGAACTGCAAAGGAAATTCAAAACTGAAAGTCCTTTATAAAATGGCAAAATTAAAAGCTCAAACACATCTAACGAATAGAAAACAATTGTCATATTTTTGACTTGGTACAGGCATTGCCTTTTGTAGAAAATGGTGGATTAAACCTGGTTTTTAGGTAGCTAAATCTCTCACTTGTTCGACAGTCGCATTGCATTTCATTATATTGACAACAATGTGTGAGCAAATCAAACAGACATAATAGGTATACACGTCAAAAATTGGGGTACAGCAGTCAACATTGTAATATAGTTTTAATCACGAATAAAACAAATAACTGTTTCAACAAATAAACACAAAATGGCATATACATGATATAGAAAAAGTATAAAAGCAAAAATGAAAGACAATATTTCAAAAATGACCATAGCACAATAACACAATATATACTTACTTAAAATAAAACATTCAAAAGTTTTATTAATACAAGTTAACAAAGAAATTGTTCTATAGTTAGTTGGATCTGACTCCATCCTTTTTAAAATAATAAAAGGGCAAGGTGTAAAGATTTACATGGATAGAGAGTTGACCACATTGCAAAGAAAAGCTAGAAACAAATGGTAAAGGTTTACATACGGTTGATGCAGTCTACTTTTTTCATATTATGACTTATGTGGTCGTTTCCAATGGCTTATTTCAGTTCAAGAGTTTCTGGAACAACTTTCATTTCATCAAATGTTATTTGCAGATTGTCTCAATTATTTTTAGTTCATATATCAAAATTTGGCGGCGTTAAATCGATATAAGATATTGATAAAAAAAAAGTCATCGAGTAAATTCGCTGAAGGGGAAGAGTTTTAATTTTAAATCTGCTTTTTTTCTTAAATAGGTTCCAAATTTCTTCGGGTTACCCGAATTTTTCTTATTGAAAAACTCGTTTGCTTTCATAAATTTGATTGCTAATGCTTCTAGCATTCGAGTGAAATATGATTAGAGAGTTAATCTGGTCGACTGAAACGGATTGTATTTCCACGTCTTCATTCCAAACTATTTACACGGAAAACAAAATACTTATAAACTACAAAACATGTTTTCAAAAGTATAAAGTCATGTCACATTTGTATAATAAAGATAATTATATACTATCAGTTTCTAAATCAACATGTTGAGGAAATGTGTGCTAAGACATAGTGTTACTGTGTTTTTCCTCAAAAAGTACTTCATTTACTTCACAGAAAACTGTTGTTTGAATGTGGGGTTTCTGTGTCAAGGCTAAACCATTTATAACATTTAGACCCAAATGACTTTTGAAATACTTACTATAATAGGTTGAGCACATTCAATTTTATGTCTTTCCGTAAAGAATGTATAGCACAGAGAAAAACTTCAACTTACAACAGTTTGAAAATGTAATTAAGAAAATGTGGTCGGAGACAACTTTCCTCAGATGATCAAAAGACGTAGATGTAAACAACTATATGTCACTATAACAACAATGTGCAAAATCCATACCTAATAGTAAGCTATGCAAGGGTCAGACATGGAAACATGTTAAATAGTTCAAACAAGAAAACCAATGTACAAACAAATAAACGAAACACGAATATAATATGTAGCGACCAACAACAACCACTGAAATACAGGGTCCTGACTTAGGACAGGCACATACAGAATATGGTGGGCTTAGCAGCCCCATCCTCACCAAAGACAAAGGGACACGGATAAGATAGGAAGTAAACAAAAAATAAAAATGGCTTGATTCATCAAATTGACATAAAACACAAAGATTATTGACAAAAAGTCTAAAACTTTCAACTAACCTTCAGTAAATAATGGTATAAAAAAGAAGATGTGGTATGATTGCCAGATTGCCAATGAGACAACTCTTCAAAAGAGACCAAATGACACATAAATTAACAACTATAGGTCACCGTAAGGCATTCGACAATGAGCAAAGGCCATACCGCATAGTCAGCTATAAAAGGCCCCGAAATGACAAATGTTAAACAATTCAAACGAGAAAACTAACGTCCTAATTTATATACAAAATAATGAACGAGAAACAAAAAATTTACACAGCAACAAACGACAACCACTGAATTACAGGTTGCTGACTTGGGACAGGCACATACAGAATGTGGCGGGGTTAAACTAGTTTGAAGGTGCCAACCCTCCCCTTAACCTGGGACAGTGGTGTAACAATACAACATACGAACAAACTATAAAAAATAGTTGAAAAGGCTTAACTCATCAGATGGATACAAATAGAAATACATATAACACTAACACAGAGTGGACGTGGCCGGGTACATGTACATCCCAACAACAAACGGACACTAAGTACAGATCTAAGAGTACTCGCAATTTCTGACAGCTAGATCAAAGCCGATAACAACTTATAAAAAAAAATCATGCATCTAAGACTAAATTATCAATCAGTACACATCCAACATCCGATGGATTTAGTGTAAAGACGTCATAAATAGTCAGAGAAAAACATGACCATATACAATGCCAAGATACAGGTATGGACCGATTGTAGAGCCATGAATGTGCATGTGTATATAACAATAATATTTAGTTTGCTTTTTTAATTTACTGATAACAAAATCAATGTTAATACTAAAAAACACAATATTCAAAGATCTAATTACAGTATTGAATTGGTAACCTTTTAGAATAAGTTTATTTAAAGGATCGATAAGTTTACCAGGATCGTTTCTCAATTCCAGGGCACGGTAAACAACATATTCGTAAAAATGATGATGTGCTATCCCGTTTGAAATAAGTTTTCTACAGGTACAACCAAAATTCAAAACCAAATCTTTATATCTATGGAAGAATTAAGTAAAGGTTTTAAGTAATTTGTGGTAACGAAATCCCTAACTTTAAATGATTTACCAGTAATACATAGATTACGTTTATTAAAATCCGAAACGTTACAACAGACACGGGCATAGTGAACGAGTTGTGATATATAAACGCCGTAAGATGGTGCCAAAGGAACATCAGCATCCAAAAAAGAAAAATTAACAATAGGGAACGAAAAATCGTCCCTTTTGTAGTAAATTTAAGTGTGGAGTTTCCCGTGTAAAACTGAAATCTCTAAATCTAGGAAAAGACAGTTATTACCGTTTACATGCTTACATTTGATTTATTTAAAGTAAGCTCCTTTGGGTAAATTTCGGCAGTACATTTAGAAAATTCTTGATTATTTAACGAAAAAATATCATTAAAATAACGATAAGTGTTGTTGAATTTAACAATAAAATGCAATTTAGACTGGTCTTTATTGAATTTGGTCATAAACTGTGATTCATAACCGTACAAGAATATGTCTGCTATTAAAGGGGCACAATTAGTGCCCATAGGAATACCTACAACCTGTCGATAAACTTTGTTGCCGAAACGTACATAAATATTATCAAGGAGAAAATTAACAGCTTCAATCATCTCATCTCATTGTCTTAGATCGGTAGTTTGTGACCTTTGTCCTTATGTTAGTTATGTTTTATAATACGCGAGGATCTGAGTAGGTAAGCCTTTTCAACTGATTTTTCAATTTGTTTCTATGTTGTGCTGTTACACCAATTTCCAGTTTAAAGATAGGATTGCTCGTTTGCTAATATATTTTTATTTTTGTCGCATTGTTTACATACCTCTCTCAAGTCTGGAATTTGTAGTTCAGAGTTTTTGATTGTTGTCCGCCATATTTGTTTTTCGTGTATTGTTTGAGCGTCAATCAGATCTTCGGTTTTCACGTTTTTTTTTGTAGTTTACTATACAGTATGGGTTTGCTCATTGTTGAAGGCTACACGATGACCAATAGCTGCTTATATCCAAGGTCAGTGGTCTCTGATGAATAGATGTCTCATTATGGAAATCATACCACGTCTCCTAGTCCTAATATTATAAGTTTTTCGGTAGAACGACTGAAATTTCGATCTTCGATCGGATAAGTCATATTACAATGGTTTTCACGGGTTAATCATCTAGCTTTTCGTACATATATATATCATGTAGTAAGAGTGCATTAAGTAAAATTGCAATAACTAGGCGGCTCTAAAAACTAAAAATACAATATAATTTACTTAGAATGTAAACTTATTTCCGATTAAATACATTCAGAAATTTAATTACTCTAAAAATGGAAGCACTCTTATGATACAAACTTGACCTACACATCAAGTACCCTAAAACCAAATCAGCATATAACTCTCTTACTCCAGAACTCTTAGTACTTCCTGCCTCTCATAAAACATATGCAATGAAAATTTTCTTATCTGACCCTACTAGACAATTGTTTACAAAAATTCTTTCATTTAAACCATTAGGAAATAAGTGAACCCTTTTTCAAATTTATACAAATGAAGGTTAAAAATAATCAAATTGACACAATAGATATATCATATGTATGTACAATTGTATGATCAGCTGTGAACCAAATATATCGTAACAGTCAAGTAAGTACAAATTGCAGCCGCAGTGTCAGTTCAGTTCATTTGACATTGTATGTGTCTGATTCGGGTCTGTTTGTCGTAACTGTGTCATTCGTTGTATTGTAAACATCACTCGATGCACCCTGATCGTATAGGTCATCATCGTCTTTAAATTTCTGTCGTTTTTCACCAGCAGAAAACACGTAGTATTCATCATCCCCCATTACATCATATATTGATGAATCTTGTTGTTTCATTTCAATCATTTTTTCTGAGTCTCCTAAATGATTATAAATTCCTTCTTCTGTAACATTTACTAATATCCTACTTTCTTCTGGAATGGTATTCTTAATTGGCTTTGAGTTAGTATCAGGCTGTCTCTGAACAACACCTACATCCATATTCTCGCGTTCTGTTTTGATTCTGTTTTAAAAATTATTTATTTGAAAATCAAAACAACAACAAAATAAAATCTCATGACAAAAAACATCAAAAACATCATGCTACAGTAATTTTTGTTACAGTAATTTACCATTGTTTAAATCTCATAAATCGATTAAAAAAAATACACATGAACTTCAAAAGGAGCGAGACCGGGTGCGTCGACAGGTAAAGTGTCTGCTGCTTTTCATGGATCACCCGCCATGAGAATCCATATTCAGTCAGAACGTTACAATAGGACACAATCAGTAAAATTATAGACCAGGTCTATTCCTGTATTCTAAAGATATAAGACCACGAAAACATAGTGAACTGAGATAACAAAATATCATATCTGTCAACTAATACTAATACGCCAGTCGGATTAAAAAATAGAACTCATTATAATACGGACTGTCTGGTGAAATATCAATCATTTGATTCAACAAAAATGTGTTGTCGATCAAATATCCCAGCATTGTTAATTGAATCAGTATGGTTCTTTACAAAATAAGATTTCATGGTGCAAAACAAGGCAATCGTAAATACATATTCCTGTTTTGTTTGAAAAAGCCCTGTTTCATAAGCTGATGTAGTCAATATGTCAGTTAAGCATGAGAAATAGTTGTGTCGTATGTAGAATTTAAAATGCTTTTGATATTACTGAAAAATTGTAAGAATTTTATTATAGATTTTGTAGTAAAATCTTTTATGAATCATCCATATCTGATTGACATCAATCGCTGGTTAAATATACCTAATCACAACAGTTTTGAAGGCTATCTTAAACTTTAGAAAGAAGGATGGTAATACAAATGTGTATTAAAATATCTCGACGACCATACTATATAGCCTAAATGGTAGTATTTCTGTGATGTTTACGTATCTAGTGTAGAGACGGGAGATTTCATCATCCTTTTTTATATTAATTAAAAACATGATAGAAGAGTGAATTTAAGATTTTGTAAAATTTCCTTTTCGTGAATGATATAGGGAAATATCTGGCATTTCTAATTTTTCTGTGAAATCTTATTTATTTCATTAGACATTCTAAGTTATGATTTTAGCAAAATTTAAGAAATTACAAAATTAAGACTAAAGGTGGTTTAATCTTGCTTAAATTACCACAGAAGTATGTATTTATTCTTTGTTATAAATTCTTTAATTAACAGATAACCTGAGCATTAATAACATACATCTCCATGACCAATTAAAGCTTATTTTGTATGTGCCTGTCCCAAGTCAGGAGCCTGTAATTCAGTGGTTGTCGTTTGTTGCTGTATAACATTTTTGTTTTTCGTTCATTATTTTGTACATAAATCAGGCTGTTATTTTTCTCGTTTGAATTGTTTTACATTTATCATTTTGGGGCCTTTTATAGCTGACTATGTGGTATTGCTTGTTGAAGGCCGTACGGTGACCTATAGTTTTTGAACTTCTATGGCATTTTGTCTCTTTTAGAGAGTTGTCTCATTGACAATTATACGACATCTTCTTATTTTTATATTATAACTGTATCATTTTGACAATTAATGCGTAACTTTGCTACATGTACCGAAGAATTCACTAGTAAAGAAGAATAATGAAATGCATACCTTCTTTTAATAACTATCACAATTATTAAGACAATCACAAGTACGAGAACTCCTCCAACGCTCCCAGCTACAATCAGAACTAGAACAAACATTTGAACAATTTATATGGTGAAAATCAACCAATTATTGTATTTATCCTTTTCTGTCTTGTACAATATGACATTATTTTAGTCAGTGTATGTTTGTAAACTTCCAACTAGGTATTTATTTAAGTATACAAGTATGGGCGAACATGATTTTTTTATTAGTTGTAATCGGCTTTGAACTAGATTTCAGTAGCTGCGAGTGCTTTGTGTATATTGTTTTCATGTAAGTTATGTTTGTGCCTCGTACCGATCGTTTGAATTAAACCCATTGCAACTGATTATACAGTTTGTTCTTAGGGTGTGCTGTAACACCACTGTTCTATGTAAGGGTGAGGGCTGACTGCTCCCAAACATGTTTAACCCAGCTACATTCTGTATGTGTTTGTCCCAAGTCAGGAGCCTGTAGTTGAGTGGTTGCTGTTGGTTCCTGCATATTTGCATTTCGTAAATGTCTATGTTATAAACTAGGGCGTGAAGTTTTCTCTTTTGAATTGTTTTACAGTTTTCCTAACGGGGCTTTTTATAGCCGGCTATACGGTTTGGGTTTTTCTCATTGTTGAAGGCCGTACGGTCGTCTATAATTGCCTACTTCAATTTTATTTGAACTTTGGTGCATAGTTGTCTCATTGGCAATGATACCACATCTCTTTATTAAAATATAAGCACAAATATGCTCCCTCTGGAATTGTATGATAATATGGTTTTTGTAGTTCTGTTTAGGTCATTTTACGGAAGACCAGTAGTTACATTCTATTTAAAGAATTCTCATTTCTATTTTGAAATTTCCAAATTTTCAACTTGACATTTCTCAGTTGCAAGTCTACATTTCGCAGTTCTAACTTGGTATTTCTTAGCTTAACTTTTAATTTGAAAATGTCCAATGTATTGAGAATTGTCCACCTCGAAATGAGAAATGTCAAATTTGAAATGATTTTTCGTATCGTTTTGATTTTTATACTTTCATATGATTTAAATGTTTGAATTCCAAAACATTGTTGTCAACCATTACTGATAAAGATTAATCCAGAAACATTTATTCTACTACACTAAAAATTAATAGACAGAATGTGCGCATATGGTTATATTTAATTCATAAGTAAAATAGGTCTTTATATGTGAATTTTATTTATTTTTTATAATTAAAAACAATAACAATATCATGATATACTGGGAAATAACATCGGTTTTTATCTCTGTTCTTTTTCGTTTGTGTATGCTTGAGGAGGTATAATGATGTATTGAAAAGCACAAAAAAGTTAAGAGACACAAAGACTACTCCAGGCTTCGACCAAAAATTGAATGAAAATATGCAGAATTATCAGTAAGTTGCACGTATAACTGTCGAAGTGTGTTTTATATCTTTTTCATTTATTGCCAGTAAAATCCTTGATAAGAACATCCCCTTATAAAGAAAAACATAATAAATAAAACATATCAAAGATACAAAGCTTATCATATTAAACGCCAGACGCGCGTATCATCTACAAAAGATTCACCAGTGACGCTCGAATCAAAAAAGTTAAAAGGTCAAATCAAGTACGAAGTTGAGGAGCATCAAGGACCAAAAATTCCGAAATGTTTTGGTAAATACAACAAAGATAATCTATTCCTGAGGTAAAAAGATTTGAAAACAGTTAATTTATAAATACGACCATAGAAATGATATGTCATGTAAACATAGAAGTGGTGACTACTGGCTGGTGTTACCCTCGGGGAATAAACCTCTACCAGGAATGGCATCGACCCAGGGGTTGTAAAAAACTAATAAAAGATACCGGGTTAATAATGTTGTACAACAGACGCTGCGCGTTTCGTCTACACTGATACAAAAGCAAAATCAGATTTTTCTAATTTAGCGTTAAATTTGTTGTAAGAAGTAAAAGTTATAGAAGTTGATATCGCCTATGATATAGAAATCGAAGTATAAAACTAGTAAAACCTGATATAATGAAAGACTTACCGATAATATTTGTTTTATCCTCATTTGAATCAGACTCTGTGTTAATTGCACTCCTATATGTTGTAAGACCTGAAAATAGATTACAACGTTTATTAGCAGTTTACTCTCAAACTAAAATATATATAATATTTACATTTGTTGAATATCGAAAGTCTGATCACCTTGATCGCCTTTTTTTCAATTTTTCCTTGCCACTTATTGTATGTCATTAAAAATTTGGATGGTGACTATACTCACCAACACATCAGTTACCTTTCACATATATCAACTAGGATTCACTGCTTTCTGCTGTCCCTTTGCAGAAAATTATTTGCTTCTGTCTAGGATTTTTCATCAAGCTCTTGTTATGAACAAATATAACATCACACGAAATGAGCATTAGAGACGCTAAAAGAATGCAAGTAAAACCGTTACGTATACAATCGTCCAATCATAGTCAGTGAACCATAAGATAATTGCACGTTTAACTGTTAATGTGATTTTTAAAATCGCCGTCACTCATTGTCGGTAAAATACTTGACCAGAACATCACCAAATTTATTCTATCTCCATATAGACAAACAAACTTTAAACTGACGCAAAAACATAATCAGATTGTTTTATTTGACGTTGAATTTGTAATGCGATTTAAAATAAGAGAAGTTGCTACAGTCTATGATAGAGGAGGTTGACAAGACTAGTAAATCAAAGACTTGCCAGTGATAATTGTTTTATCTTCATTTGAATCTGACTCGGTGTTTATTGCACTCCCATAAGTTGTACGATATAAAAATATATTACAAAAAATATGCTAGCCGTTTGTTAAAATGACATTTACAGCAATTTTGGAGAAACAAAAAACGTATGTTTGCCCCCTTTTGTATGTCAGTGAAAATCAGATTTAGATGGTGACTAGACTCGCCAACATGCCAGTAACTCTTCTTTGAGAAACTGTCACGAAAGGAGTTAAGTCTTGGTTGCTGCTGACAACAACATAAGACGGGTTTGTTTCTCTAAGCTGATCAAATGTGATCCTTCTGCAAAACACCAGACAGAAAACTTCCCAAAAAGAAGCGCTGTTTTTTTATACAACTAATGGCATTTTTTTAATTACCCGGGTTCACATCTTGTTCATATGGGATTTGTATTGTTCAATCATTATTTTTGTCTGTAGTGTATGCTAGACTTATATTTGTCTGATTTTTTTTCTTTCTGACTTGGTTTTGTCTTCAGTATTAATAGCAGTTTATGTTTTTGATTGCCCATGTGTTTCTTCACGCGTTATGTATTGCCTTTTTGTATTATAATTTGACAAATAGGTTCCAAATTACAAGCACCAGCCAGTGGATAAACTACAAAAAAATGTTCTACAAATGTTGTGACATGCTTTTGAGAGCATTGCATTTGCAGCTCTTATGGAGTACACATACATTTTAGATGCTAGGGGTAACTGAATTTTCGTAATTTAATCTCATTCTTTAATGCTTAAATAACCTGCGGAACTTTTTTTCATAGCCGAACTTGTTGATCTGTAAGGACTGTCGTTTTCCTTCTTGCTAGTCGTATGTTGTTTCTTGTCTGCAGGAAAAATAAACCAATAATAGCAAAAATAAAATATAAGAGAAAAGAGATTTATAAAGTGTTATTTTCATTATCTATGATCAAAGAACCTTACTTTGAGAAAACTGAAATAATGGCTGCAAAAATACCTTTTACAATGGTACATATCATTACTGAATGCTTCAATTCAATCATATATCCAAGTTTAAGTCATGTCGGAGTATGTCAATACCTATTGATTTGACAGCAACTTATCTCTGATTGACTAAATAATAATTAGACACAAAAAGCCTCGTCAAATTGATAATTCATTCATATATTTCATAAATCGTCTCTTTGAGATGTTGTCGTAATAATGTCGAAATTTAACCATTCCCCTATTGGACTGAACAATTACGGTGTATTACACTCTTTCACTATTCTGAAGCACTTTCTGTCACATCCAATTATTTCTTACTTGATTTGGTCAGTTCAATGCATTCCTTTGCAGTATGTAGTGAATGATACAAATTTAATACAATATAGATGTTCAAAATAATGTTAGCTTCAATTGGGTTATAAGAAATGCTGTTAAAAGTATTACTATTTAAAGCAAAACCATATGTGAAAATATCGCTTAGTTGCTTGTAAAGTGTCTTTGGACTAGTATTAAAACCACATGTGTGACAATTCAATATCAATGAAATTGAATGGAATAAATAAGGTGTGTGATTTCATAACACAAAACTGGAAATTGCCCGGCTAACGTATGCACGGCTCTGTGATGCTGTTTTTCCTCTTAATATCACTGTGATACATTGTACACAGGAAATTATCTCACATCAAGGCAATTAATGGATAGTGTCACGTAGAATTTGTGTTGTTTTAGAAGATGGATAAGCATAATTCAATTATTTAGGCGACAAGTTCATTGTAAACTGCAGAAATAAGACAACCACAGGAAAAATACAATCTTAAAAAAATTTTTGTTCCTTTTGTGAGATGTTTATAGGAATTGGTGCTTTTTTCTTGATGTGACGATGGCAAAAAAAGTTTACTGCATAATTTCGTTTTGATCCGTCAAGCACTGAAAACAACTTCACAAATGGTTATTATTACATTATTACCAACTAGTCTCGTTTGATTATTCGTACATGTATCAAACATGTATCAGGTTAAACTTTTGTTTTAGGTGGTTTATCATGAAGATGTCGGGACAACAATCAGGAATTTACTACACATGTTCGTTGTGATGTGAACTTTCATTAATAAATAAAAAATCAATTTTTAATGTTAATTCAAGTGTTATGAACCAATCTTCCTGGTCGATTTATGAGATTTAAATAAACTATTATTGCCTAAATTAATCAATCGATTAACGAAGGGTTGCTGATTAGCAGCAGGATTGCCTTGATATTCGAATTATGGTGAGGACTATTCAATTTTGGATTAGAAAGATATATTTTTTAAATATTTGAAATAAATTATACAAATAACATTCATATTTCAATTGTACTGCACCGGTCAGTTAACTCCTCAGTAATGCTCGGGGCCAAAATATTTAAAATTACAAAACCTACGTGAACAAAAGAGCTGATAAAATAAGGACAAAAAAGTATTTAAAACTCTGACAAGGAATACGAGAGAAACATTCCTTAAATCAAAATTATCAAAAATAAAAAAATACAACAGCAATATTTATTAAATATACTCATCAGAGATATCAGAATTAAAATTTTGTACTCCAGACGCGCATTTCGTCTACCAAAGACTCATCAGTGACACTCGAAACAAAAAAGTTAAAAAGGCCAAATAAAGTACGAAGTTGAAGAACATTAGTGTAGACCCACAATTCCGAAAAGTTTGCCAAAAAATGATATCCGTATGTCATGCGACTACCGGAAAAATTACTAGTGGGCTGGAGATGCCCGAGGAACTAACAGTCATTCAGCAAAAGTATCGACTCAGACTTGACTGTAACGTAACAATCCATTCTTTATTGTATCTTATAAATAACTAGATAAAATCAATTGAATATATTCAACAATGATATAAATACTCACAACATAAAGAATGCAATGCTATGGTACATCTTTCCGTTTCAAATCTAACGCCAGATCCATCAATCTCTAATGTCAGACATAGTGCATCAGCGGGTAAAAAATCTAAATAAATATTCAGAGTTATAACCACTATAGATATATATTTACTTATTAATATGAGTTTTTTAACATAGTTTATTGATAAAGAAGAGTATATCAGCATTCTGATAAGGAACCATTGAGTACTCGCGAGTTAAACCTTATAAAAATAAGAAGAAGTGGTTTAATTGTCTACGAAACAACTCGCCATAAGAGAGCAAATGCCATAGAAGGTAGCACCTTTTTATGTTGCTCACTCTAGTTAAAAATATTTGTCTTTGTTTAGAATTATTAGATAATGCATTTGTATGTTCAGGATTTATGGGTTTAAAGGAGAGATGTCATAGTCATGGTTAAAAAACTGTTCAAAATTTGTCTCAATTCAAAGCGATAAAGAGATTTACATGCAGTATGGACCCTTGTATACTGTTGAAGACCTTATAAGACTGTTAACTCTTTTTGTCTATTTGTATTGATACGTTCCTTTGTACTTACACTTACATTGACATTGACATTATACTGCACAAATGTCCTGTAAACCAAACATCTAATTGTAGCATGTTTAAGTTCTATCTTTACTTTTTGTTTTAGAAAATGAAAATGGAACGTTTTAATTTCCCTTAGTAAAGATAATGAATTGGAAATCTATCATAACCTTCAACTTATCGTTTTGATAAAACAAAACAAAAATTACGCATGATCAGGTTAGAAAAGACTAAGTGGCAGATATAACACACTTTTCCTACTCTGTTTTTCCCCTTGAACCTGTTAATGCAACACTCCGTGTTTATTATATACAAAAGAATAACAATGTTTTTTGTGTTCATCGTTGATTCTGTTTTTTTTTTAAATAAAATTTCGCATCCCTATACTAAATGTAAAATGTCCTCCATTCGAATCCGTAAAACATGAAGCAGTGTAACACCTCAGCTACATATTTTAACTTATTGACGATTTACCCCGAATGCACTAATGCTTGAGTTATCTTATTCATACTATATCGGTTGATTACATTTTGCATAATGGCTCTTCAATATAAAAAAATAAATGCATATACCATTTCCCCATTCAATTCTTTCTGCGACATGAGTTCCAACCCAATGTTGTTTTCGTGGACACCGATTTGCAATTTTACTTGCAAGCTTTAAACTCTTTTCTTGACAGTTTTGACTGGCGGTGTACCATGAAACGGTCTCATTGTTATAGTCGTCGGGGAATTTTTTATCTAAAAATGATCGAGAAATATTATTCATTTTTTATTTTACAGTCAATACATATTTTTTGGATTAAAAAAAAACCAAAAACAGCATTTATAGACAAGTTTGAACAGTTCATGTGTGAAGACATTGGCATCTTCATCTATAAGTGATACTCATAGCTAAAGATGTTACGTTCCTCCTACATGTTAAATACCAGTACCTAAATTCCTCTTTGCCATCATAAATAAAACTGTAGTTTTTTCTAGATGACAAGTTTGAATTTTGCTTCTATAACCTCATTTTAGATTGTATAAGTTTCGGCACTGATCGCAAAATCATTTAGTCATGTGAATTGTTTGGAAAGTGGTACCTTCATAAAACGTTTATTAGAATATATCTTCGTAAAGTCCACATGTTCATTGTTAGCATGTACACATATTGTTGAATAGAATGTATTGCCATTATCACACTAACGAAAATCTTTTTGAAAATAACAGTATGTACACCAAACTTATTGCATCACGTAATTTAAGCTTCAAATTGTATTATTTAATTCAGATGTCCCACTTGTATGTATTTTCCTTTCCAGGTATTCTACTATGTCCAGGAAAAAAATTGTAGTATGGCAAATATTTAGTTAATTTGCTGGTTTTGTTCTGATTGAGTTTCATTGCAATAGCGTCATTTTTCCAACATGTAAGTGCAACAAAAGTATAATCGTCTGTTACTTTATCTTTCTCGTTTCTTGTGTCACTCATTATTGTTTAATGTTAAAGACTGGCATTTCTTCAAAATATTTTTGTTTCTTTTGTTTTGAATCTTCACATCAACACATAATCCTTTCGGAATCTGATACCTTGTAGTTTTATGTGTCCTCTCAATTATATTTACCATTTTGCATTAGGGTGTCTTTATGTTATTATGCCACTGATTCAGGTATATAAGGTACCATAGTAACAATTGGTCAGTGATTTACTCTTTTCACAACATTTAATAATTGAAAAAGAACTGTAGTTCTGATATTGTCCATGCATTAGTAATATGACCGGATATGTCTATATGGCTTATGACAAGAAGACGCAAGCATATAAATGTCTCAACTGCAAAAATTGGAAATCGATTACCTACTTTGGACCCACTCTTTCTCGAAATTTGTAATATTATTGAGTACTATTGCTTATTTTACACACAGATTTTATGATGGCCTTATAAATCTGAACAATACAACTGAGATGTGATAGTGTTCACTTCGTAGAATTCAGAATTAAACCTTGTACAACGAAAAGAAAACCCACAGTATAAACGTAGGTCCCGTTTATAATATTTTAAAACATGATAATATATTCTGATAACATGATCAGATTACAACTTTTTGTGTTTTCGTAGAGTAGATACTGCCATTATTTGTCAAACCAAACAATCTGTTCTGTATGACCAAAACGATTTCAAACTTTATAGTTTTGATTTTTTTTATTATCCAGTGAGACTGAATTCTTTGCATTTAGAGTTTTAATTTCAGAGTCAGGCAATGTTAGCAAAGGAAAAGACTGAATTTGTTTTAAATGAATGAAAGAGATTTATGACAGAACATGCAATTCAGTAAATTCATATGCTAATATATGATCCTTGTAACTGAAGCTGTTAATTATATAAAATTTCTAAATCTGTATTAACAAATTAAAAAAAAAATGTAAACACCATTCAAATTCGTCTAACAGTTAAGGAATACATTCACGTTGAATATTTCTAGCAATCAAGACTGACATATAGTTCTTTTTTACAAATCCTGCTTTGAATAGAATATCGACAATATGAACCATGTAGACAAAGACTGAAGTTTATAAAGACATGAGCTTCCTCAGCAACAAACCAGATATACAATTACATTTGTACATTTCCTGATTTACTAAACACTCTCGTTTTAAATAAATATTTGAAAATAGTAATATCAGTATATGAGACCTGGGGTAATTAAAAATACGATTGTAGTTACCAGTAATTAATCAAAATTGAAAAGTGGTTAAATGTAATTTGTTTATGAGCATATTATAAATAACATGTAAATGAAAGCAATGAGTAACAATGCCTTTTTGCCATGAAATTATAAATTTATTTTCCACCATAATTAACTTGACACTTAAAAGAATTTAAATCAGCTACAATTAATGTGCATTTAGTGTGTAAATGAGGTAGAAGATAAGCGAACAACGCCATGCCAAAAAAAAAAAAAAAAAAAAAAAAAACAACAAAAACAACAAAAAGACAAATAACAGTCTACAAACACAACATAGAAAATAAACACAAACACTACCAAACATTGTGGGTTACCAAATGTTAAAATCGGCATCTCGCTAAACTACAAATATGTCCCTTCAATATTATGCAGAAGGCAAGATATAGTTATACCTAGCAAACCAATCAACTTATCAACGTAAATATTAATATAAATTCTATTCATGTAACTGTTGCGTAAATTACTGAACATGTCATCCTCCTAATGTAAAATACTCCGATTTTTTAAAATGTTGATGAACGATATATATAAATACTGGTGATGTTTTGTTCTCTTCTTATGTGTATATAATTTATATGTACACGCATCTAAATTTAATTTCTAAAGTTCAACCCCATTTCAAGAAAGAAATGCAATACAATACGCATGAAGTGAAGTAAGCACAAACAACAGATACCCTTGTTACAGATATCTATTGATATTCAAAGGGGCATTTGCTACGAGATATGAACAAATTTAAACATGATTTGTTTTGTTCAATCATTAATGAAAGTGAAATAGTGGAATAATAATTCGCTTTTATCAGCCAATTTGGTTCAATTTTGTCAAATTTAGCTAAATAAACAGCGATAATGAATTATTCACTTGCAAGTGAATAATTCGACTTCATTGAATTCGTATTCATGTGAACTTCAATTTAACCTTTTGGGTTGAGATTGATTACGCATGTACTCTGCTATTAAAAGGAAAATAATGTCAATATTGAAAGTGAAACAAGGATAAACCATTTGGTTGACTGATTCGAAACACAAAAAAAAAAATTCTTTTACAGGTAAAGATGATGATAAACATACGTTTTAACCTGCAATATGAAATAAAACAGACCTAGAAAAATCCAATTGCACGTGATCGCTTTCTATTGATATTTTTATTTATGTTGATATCGGGTTATATGATCGTCGGCAGTCTTCCGAGGTCATTTCGATGGTTAATTAGATTACGTCTAGACAAAAATACACACGAAGTATTGATACGTATGATCGAGTCCTTGCATTATTGATTATTCATTTTAGACTTTTTGTAATAAAGAAATATAATTAATTAAATTGACAATATAATTATATTGTAATTAATCAGGTTACAAAATTGATGCAACCGTAATTGTAATATAATTGAAAAAGTATTCAGAATGAAACGAATTACTTTTGCATGTTGTTAACCTCAGGTATACAGTGCATATGTATATACACGGGTATTACCCAATCGAATGTTTCATGAAGTTAAAATATCAATTAAAGTGACAAAATAGATTCAAACAATATAGTTTGTAAGATACTTGTCTTGTTATATCCTTCACATATATACGGCAAACTAGAACTGCATCTTGTGTAATTGAATAGATGTTTTCCGTTTGTTTCATCCCAATAAACTGCTGCACAAGTATTCCCGAGTTTCATTCCAGGAGGACTCTGTTCTGAAAAATTCATATGCAGAATTCAATTATCACACAAAGAGGTCTCAACTCAATAATGTTTAAACAAAATATTGCTGCAGCACCATCAACGTTTAACACAAGATTCACAGTTTGTTGTTGGACATAGGCTCCAACTAGATACTTTTACTACTTCTACTACTACTAGTACTTCTGTTTATACTGCTAATGGTAATAATAATAAATACCTATAATACTAATGATGATAGTCTTATTAATCATTTATATTTATACACCGAAATAAAAATGTATAAATATTAATTTATGAGCGTTTCGTGTCAAGTATTTCAAATAAGTACATATTCAGGATGATGAATGTACATACTCATTATCTACATGTTCTATTTTTATTCTTGTAACACACCTTTGTCAGACATATGTGTATTTTTGTTTGCATTTTTAAGTCATTTGTGTTTGTACGTTTGTTATTTATATTTACACAGTTTTGGCTGATGAATCACAATTATTGTCACATTTACCAATTATATCTTTTTTGGTTGGTTGCTAACCTAATTTTGTCAATATAACGAAACAATAAACAATTTTCATACAAGAGAGGGGGTAGCTATTAAACCAGGTTTAATCACCATTTTCTTCAGAAAATGTCTGTTCAAGTCAAATATGACAGCTGTTTTCAATTCGTTCCGTTGGTTGATATAGTCGAGCGTTTGATCTTGTCAGGTTTTATTGACTTCCCAACGTTTTAAATTTACATTGGAATACGGTATTTGTGTTAATTCTTTCCTATGTTTGAACAACAACGGCTTTCATGTGTAGCAGCTTGTACATACATACGGTTTATTATTTCATAGGCACTGTATAACTCTTTTTCGGCGATAGCTAAAACACCACCACATTTATCTTTTCTGTTTCCATGACATTTTCTCGTACAAGCGTCAATATTTTCCTCTGTATAACTACTCTGCTCATTGATGAATTTTGCCTTAGAAATACACAGACATACCTTGCCCTAACAAAACATAAAACTTTAGTGAACATTTGATCAAATAAAAGTAACAGCAGTATACCGCTGTTCAATGGTCATTAATCGATGTTACTGTGTTGTTTGTATGAAACTGTAATCCTAAGGTTAATATCTGTTTTTCCTGTATGACATAAAACAGGAGTGCAAGAGATTATTAGTCCACAAGGGTATTAATAGTTGGTCAGTCGACATGACATGACTTATTACCTATCTTCTTTTTTTTATTAAATTAAGAAATTATTCAGAAACCAAGGTGATAATGTTAGGACTGAAAATTTGACAACATTTTACTTAGTGATTTAATTTATTTTTATAAGATAAGGGAGAATTAATGACTGCAGAACTGTTTAATGAAGTGAATAAACTTTACTGCCTATTGTGTCTGATTTATATTTGTTATACTTGGACTTTCTCATAGCCATTGGCAGAACTTTCCGGTGATATAATTGTAAAACAATTGAACTTTAAAGCAATTGAAGGAATATAACCTCCAATGGTGCTAACTAATATATGCAGTGACAGAACACATTAATTTTTAGAACTTTTGTTTATAGAAGACAAAACCCTGTTCCAGTGAAGCCGTATATTTTGCAGAATAAGCAAATAGTTTGCATTTCATTATTGTCATTTTAGTAAATATAAAAATAGGGACTTCCTACACTTTTAAGTTTCTCAGTTGCTTGTAGATGCATTCACATGTTTTGTTTTATATGTTATACACTTGTACCACGAATTGAAAATAATTACAATTTGTCTGACTTGAATATAGTTTTATATGTTTTATGAAGCCAAAGTATTTCAGGACAATTTTGCGTGTAACATAGCTGGTGGTAGCGTACAAGGGTTTTTTATAATTTGAAAATTAACAATTAATTCTGACAGTCATACAGTTATATGATAAGTACAGTGAGAACTAATTGTCGTAAAACTTCTAAATGGATACCGTGGAGGTAATTGGTGAAGCATCAAGATTACAAGAAGAGGACTCAATGGCTAAGAGTAGACCGAGAAGAAATATCGCAGCAAAATTAATCCAACTTACAGAAGATGAAAACCAACAAGAGTCGGAGGAAGAGGAGATCTGTCCCGCTCCTAAAACTTTACCACCAAAAGATCGCGAAAGAAAGATTCTACAAAGGAAGACATGGAACTGGAACGAGAGAAAATTCAACTAGAAAGAGAAAAACTCGCATTTTAAATGGAAAAATTTGTTGTCGAAAAGGAGAAAAATTATACTACAAAGAAACCAACAACAACAACACCAATAAGTCTCAGAAGCAACCGAAAGCAATATCAAAGGTACTCTTCGGTGTTTTAAATGTTCACAGTAGGCACATTATTCAAATAAATGGAATGAAAAAATTAACTAAGCATCAAGTTTCGCAAATATAAATGATGGATTTGTACACATTCTTGGAAATGTGAATCAACAGGAAATATCTTTTGTGAAAGATACTGGTGCATCAATGACTTTATTGCGTGAGAATTTAATTGATCCTAGTTGCATCTTGACTGGACAGAAGACAACCCTGTACAAAGCTATTGGTCAGTCATTTGAAGCGAAACTGGCTGTTGTTAACCTCAATACACCGTACTATAAGGGACATTGTCAGGTGGGACTTAATGGCAGATGTTTTACTGGGCATTGACGTTATAAATCCGAAATGTATTAATGTAGTAACAAGAGCTCAGTCCGTGAAAGACAGAAGGAGGAAATATCCGCCAAGTTAATGTACGAGTGTGAAGTTATCCCTCAGGAGTGGTTCGTTGAGGTACCCATGGATACCACAGAAAATGTAACAGAAGAGATACATGCTTAAATGCGGCGAGAGAGGATCAGGAACTCCAAATCAATGACATTAGCATGGTTAATGCAGAAATTTTGTCGAGACTTCAGAAGGACCCTTCACTTAGGAACTGCCGTGAACAGGCGTATAAACCTCCATAGTTTGTAAAAAATATTCCCAAAGGATTTTATTGGGAGAAAGATATTTTACACCGGAAATGGTCACCAATAGATAACATTAAGGTATGACATCAAGTCGTTTTACCTGCATGCCTTTGTTCTTCAGTAATTAAATTAGCGCATGATCATTTAGGGGTGGAGAAAGCAAAAGAGAGGATTCTGAAAGCATTTTATTGGCCAGGTCTCTTCAGAAATGTAAGTGAACATTGCATGTCTTGAGACACATGTCAGAAAGTTGCAAAAGAAGTAAAATTAAAGCAACTATGGTACCTACACCTATCATTAGGGAGCCGTTCAGTAAAATATCAGTGGATATTGTTGGGCCGTTAAACAGAACAAAAGGGGGACATCGTTTTATCCTTACTATTGTTGATGATGCAACCCGATACCGAGAGGCATTTGCATTGAACAGTTGTAGAGCTGAAAATGTAGCTAACTGTTTGATTGAATTTTTCAGCAGGGTAGCAATTCCAAATACTATCTTGACCGATCAAGGATCTAACTTCACAAGTGAACTTTTAAAACAATTGTATGACTTCTTGAAGCCGTGTTAATGGTGTCAATTACAAAGTTTATGTCGGTGGACGTAGAGGTATTGTAACATATCATATCAACCTTTTGAAGAAGTTTGCTCCTGCAGATGACCGAGAGGACACTCATTTTAAGTAAGAACAGGTATTTCCTAATTATAACAATGAGACACTGCAGGATATTACATTAAATCAACAGTTGAGCAAAAAAGAGAAGTCACAATTGAGAGAATTGTGCCAGACATATGAAAATGTGTTCACAACTACTGTACCAGGAAGATGTTCATTAGCAACACACAGTATTTGCACTTTATGAAACACCGATTTCTCAAAGACCGTATCGCATTCCGATTGCAAAACAAGAGTCAGTTAATCGACAGCTAAATGACATGCTTCACCAGGGAATCATTAAACCACCAAAGACTGTGTGGAGTGCACCTATCGTTTTAGTGATTAAGCCAGACAATTCAATCAGGATATGCATTGATTCTACAAAACTTAATGACATAAGTTTATCTGAAAATTATCCGATTCCTTGCATCAGTGATGTATTCGAGAAGATTGGGCAAACAAAATATCTGAGTCAGTTTGACTTTTCGAAGGGCTATTATCAGATCCCGCTATCTGAAGACACCAAAGAAAAATCAGCATCTGTGACACCGTATAGTTTATATGAATTCGAAGTAATGCCGTTTGGAATGAAGACATCACCAGCAACCTTTGTGTGTCTCATGGACCGTGTTTTGGATAAATACTGTAATGTCGTAGCCGTACATTCGAAAGATGTTGAGTCGACATCTTGACAACCCATTAATATGTCGTTCTATTTAGATGTTTGTGAATTTAAGCCAGTATCAAAACTAATTGTCACGGTCCATTTAATGCTAATACAAAAGGAAAGAGAAATGGATTTGTTATTTTCTAAACTTCCTCTTTCGTGTACGATATTATGGTACAAAAAATATATATGGGTGCACAATCCCTTATGCGCCTCAAATAGAAGAACTCAACTATAAATAGAAATAATAAAACCCTGATTGCAATGATATTAGACATAATGCTATTTTTAGTAATTGACTGAGCTCCATTTGTGCTTTTTGAAGAGCACCGGACTGTACAATATACGTTTGAAAGGAACTGAATTTCCAGAGAATTTGACGGTGTGAAAATAAGGATTTTTTTCCTTTCTGAATCGGCTTCACATGGCCCCTTCTGGGATTTCCAAATTTGTGAAAAATCTCTTAGCTTCAAAACGAGCCATCATACATATTCAAGTTTATAATATGGACAGAGGAATAGAAGAAAATGATACCATTATCGTCTACCTGATATGAATTGCGCATCTTGAAACACTTCGGAAAAGTTGACCTTAGATGAATTTGTCTATTCTTTTTAGTTCTTTTTTGGTCATTAAGGCTCCTTACGTTTTCAGGTATTTATATCAACAATTCGGTTTCAGAGTTCTTGATTAAGGTAAATGCAGAAAAGCGCGTCGGATGCACGAAATTTATAAAGGGTTATCTTCGTTTACCACTACGGGGTTGATACTACTGCTGTTGAACTGTCATAAAGAATGGTCGCTTTTTTTCGTGCCGTCACAATATGACATTCAGAGGAAAGCATGACATTTGTGATCATAATGGAATTTTGATCAATGAAGAAATATGATCGAACGAACCACACGATGATTTAATTAAAAAAATCAACCGGTCAGGAAATGGATAAATCGGCTAAGAATTAGAAAAACACTTTTCTTATGTTCTCTGTTGATAAATTGAGTAATTACTAAGAAACTAATGTTCCAACTCTGGCAGGCAATATTGACCTTAGATCTTGTTATTCCCTTTTGGCTATACATAAACGTTTGAACTCAATAATGTTTTGCTGCTAATTTATAGATTAGAGGATTTCATTTGGTATGGTATTAGCGATTTTGAATAATAAAAATCCAGAAAAGAACTTCGGATGCACGAAATTTATAAAGTGTTCTTTTTCTTAAAATTACATAGAAGGTTTAACAGCAACAATTTCACAATATTATTATCAGAATAAATCCATCATAGATAAACTTATTATAGATACCAAGCTTATATTTTGTACGACAGACAGGCATTTTGTCTACAAAAGACTAATCAGTGACGCTCGAATCAATCAAATTAAAAAGGCCAACTAAGTACGAAGTTGAAGAGCATTGGGGACCCAAAATTCCGAAAGGTTTGCCAAATAAAGATAATGCAATTTATCCTTGGGGATGAAAATCTTTAGTATTTTGAAAAATTCAAAGTTTTGTAAATAATTATTTTATGTTGACTTAGAAGAGCTGAATACTTGGCTAGTGAAACCCTCGGTGAGGAAATCTCCAACAGCAGTGGCATGGACACTATGGTTTTAAATAAACTGATCATAGATACCAGGTTTAAATTGTGTACGCGCGTTTCGTCTAGAAAAGATCGAGGGGCCTCGGTGGCCGAGTGGTCTAAGTAGTTACTACTGAAATCACTAGCCAGTCAACACTAAGGTTGTGAGTTCGAACCCCGCTCGTACGTGTGCACTCGACTCCAATCTTAATTAACTAGGATTGTCAGGTTTCCTATCGAAGGTCGGTGGTTTTCTCCGGGCACTCCGGCTTCCTCCACCAATAAAAACTGACCGCTTTGAAAAAGCCCAAAAGCGGCGCTTAAAGGTGGCGTAAAACACCCAAAATCAAATCAAATCTACAAAAGATCCGTCAGTGACGCTCTAACCAAGCAAGTTTAAAAAGCCAAATAAATTATGAGGTTGAAGAGCATTAGCCTAGGGTCAAAAAATTTTAAAAGCTAAATGTCGTCAAAAATAGATAAGGTAATCTATTCCTGGGGGTAGAAAATCCTAAGTATTGTGATAAATTCAAAGCTAAACAGTTGATTTATTTTATGACCATTTCAATGTTAATCCATGACAACCAAGACGTGCTGACTACTGGGGAAGTGATACCCTCTAGGAAATGCCTAAAAATATTTAAAATTCAACGAAATCAGAGAAACTGGGGTGGTGCTGGTATTTTTGATAATTAATGTATGTTTTGATTGAACAAATATGATGCAATAAGACATGAAAATCTAACTGATTTCTTGACAAAATATTGGAGGTTGTTTTTAAATATTTGAGATGTTGAGAACTTAATTCGTGCTTTATCATAATCAGTGATATCATGGGATACGTGTAGCATGAAATTTGGCAAAGTTGCTATTCTCGGCTGGTTTGAATAAACTGAAAAACATACCATCAGAAAAATATACTCTGCTTTTTCATGCACACAAGACCTAGAGCATTCGTAAGCTGAATTTTTCAGATATTCAAATTTTCCTCCATGCAATTTATCCTTCTTGGTAACATTTAAACTGAAACATCCTGGAAAAAAAAAACCATCACGTTAACATCATGAATTATATTTTACATTATCCATTGAATGGGACATAAGTATTTTATCATCAGAAAACTGTCTGTTAAAAAAAAAAATTAAAGTACATAGTTCCAAAAATCAATCATAAATAAGCAAACCAACTTATTCCGTCTAAGTGGTTTTAAAGGTTTAGGACGTCTTGAATTGTTTTGTTCTGAGTGTCTGATAGTCTAATTATAAGTTTAGTATTTGTGCGTTTTAGGCTTTATGTCCGTAAACATAATATAGTGTATGTTTTCAAATTTTACAACTAGGTCGTTATTGTACCTTACAATGTTTATTCCAGATTCGCGTTTTGTTCGCACTGAAATCGGATCATTTGTTTAAGGATGTTTGTTGATCTTGATTTTGGTTTTTTGTCAGATATTTGCAATCCTCTACTTTTATTCATGTAGTGCTGTAAAAACATTTCCGCCTTTTGTTGTCACAGTATAGTTTAAAACTTTTTTTTGAAAATATTATTATTCTTTCATAGTTTGTTAAAGAAAAAAAATGCTAATATTAAATGAATGAAAAGTCCCGTTATTTATAGACTATCAATTTATAACGATCTTTTTGAAAGTTTTGTTTTAAACATAACAGCCAACACCATTAAGTTGACCATTAATCCTCCCCAATACCATTCCCCAACAAGCCAATGGAATTTGGAGTGATTTAAATATAAAATCTGATTTGTTGATATTCAGTTCATAAATTACGTTAGAAGGCTAAAACGTAGGTTGTAACTCCTTAATGCAAAGTAAATCTTAGACGGCTATGGCTGTTCTTTCTACGCCGTTTTGGTTTATTGTCTCTCAAACGATTGTATGTATGATTGACTTTGTTAAAATGTTGGTAACCAGAGTGCATTTGGTGAAGATTATTCCAGACACACGTGTTATCATCACGAAAATCTGTTCATATTACTTTTACGTTACCGCTGCTGTTAATATCAGTTCTAAAGGGTTGATGTCGCTTTGTTGTCAGTTCTTGTAAATTAAGACGATTAAGCAGGTACCTGTTGTTTGCAAAATCCTAGCTGATAATCTTATGTAAATTTAAGGTTTCAGCTCAATCTGGCAAAGTAACACTTATACGGATTGGCTTTGGTAGGAATATTTATTAACACCTGCTGTTTAAAAAATACCTGTTCATAAAATAATATAATGATGCTCAGTTGCAGCTTCCTCAAGAAAAAATTACCTTGTATATTTCTCCATGTACGACATAGGCAACTTTGCTTTTAAAGCTAAGTATATATCTGGTTTTCCCGAGTGTTTATGACAAACTTATCTGAAATACGTATGGTGTGCACGGAAAGTATATCATTTGTTTGCTTGAAGGATAATAATTACTTTGATTAAACTTATGGATGGATATTTGTTGTACGCACTGAATATTGTTTAAACTTCCTGAAATCTGAACAGGAGATAAAAGTATAAGTATATATAAACAAGGGATCAATACATGTACAAATATACATTTTTGACAAATTAAGGGAAATTAGACGAATAAATTAAGTAACTGAACTTTCCTTTCAAGGTAGCTTGGGTGTTTAAATGTTTGACGCTTAATTTTTCCTAAATTTCTGTAAAATACTTCTCGGTCAATGTACTTTCAAATTTCGAAATCACAGTTATTTTAAATGGGTTATATATTGGAAAGTTCTTTTTCCTTATTGAGGAAACATTAACCGATAGAATTGGTTAAAATACGACGAGGGATTTGTTTTTTTACAACTACTTCCGAAATATCAAATAAAAATATGGGACCACGGGCCTTATTTTCTTGAAAATAAAAAAAAAAAAAACAAAAAATTTTCTTTTCAAATTCAGTATATTATCAATCTTCTGTCCTTGATTTTAAAAGGATTTTTCTGAAATATTTAAATACACTAAACGACACTTATTTTTTTTATAGTGAACATTTCAAGTTTAAGATGTTTTTGTTGTATATTGAATGATACTTTGTAACATATTTCCAAACTAAAAAAGTATATTTGCAACATGCCCAGAAGGGATGCTCAGAAACGCACACCAGATCTACCTTAAAATTTTCTAATTCATTGGTGCGACTTGATAAAGTAGCATGTAGTTAATACCTTTACTGACGATGACAGGTGATCTCAGTACATATCCATAGATCCAATACTGTTCCCTCCCGTACGCGTTCTGTGACTTATCAATAATTTTATCTGCGATACTGGAGACATTGCAAGATTCAGGCTGACAGTGATTGAATATCTGATGCCAGTACGTTTGATTTTTACAGGAAACAAATGACTTTTTCCATCCTTTTGTATTTTCATTTACGACAAGATTCAGTTGATCTGAAAAAAATCATTTTGTGTAAAAAATATTTCTAGTATTATTACAGCTATAACTTGTGCTTTTCCTTTGTTTGATAATATTGATAGGTTACAAAAGAATAATTGATTGGTTGAAACATTGTCTTCCCGTCTGAACAAAACAGCATATTCCCTTCTGAACATTGTAAATCAATCTTAAAATCGTATCTACCTCGCGCGACGTGATGTTATGGTTTCTTTATAACGTTCAACGACTTTTATACGGCAAAATTAATGTAAATATCGACGTTTTGATTATGTATAAAAATTGTTATAATAATATTATATGTTAAATAATAAATATCCAGTTTATATACTTTTATGTCATGTTGTTACAAAATCAAGGGGTCATGAGATATTGCATGTAATATTCAGATTTTGGAAGGTCAAACTAAGTTGTGTGATAAAATCATTATTTTCCTCCTTTAAGTTGGTACATAAACTCATCATAGACACCAGGATTGAAATTAAATACGCCAGACGAACGTTTCGTCGTCAAATGACTTATTAGTGACGCTCGAAGCAAAGAGGTGAAAAAGGTAAAATAAAGTACGCAGGTGAATAGCATTGAGGACCAAAAGTTCCGAAAGTTTTTTCCAACATACAGCTAAGGTAATATATTTCTGATGTAGAAGATCCTTACAATTTAGAAAAATTCAAAGTATGGGCGGAAAATCGAAAAGTGATGTAGAATATATTGTCATATGTTAAAAAATGTAATAAAAATTATAGATTTTTTTCATAATTTGCCAAAATATAGTATATATTGTCTTATGTTCAAAATTATAATAAAAATGATAGGCCAGCAAGTTTTTTTTCAAATAGTTGAAGATTGTTCATGCTATTTATTTATCAGTAGAACTAACACAAATTCGAAAGGAACTAATTATTTCACCATATTTGCAGGGATAAACTAATGCCTCTTCTTTAAGTTTGTAGTCGAACTGTGATTCATAACAATGAAAAAACAAAAGAGAGGCGAAAGATACCAAAGGGACATTCAAACTCATAAGTCGAAAATAAACTGACAACGCCATGGCTAAAAAAGAAAAAGACCAACAGACAAACAATTGTTCACAAATCATAACATATAAAACTAAAGACTGAACAACACGAACCCCACCAGAAACTGGGGGTGATCTCAGGTGCTCCGGAAGGGTAAGCAGATCCTGCTTCACATGTGGCACCCGTTGTGTTGCTCGTGTTAGTACAAACCCGGTAATAAGTCTAATTCGGTAGGTCACATTCGGAAAATGGGACGGGATTGTAGTTACGACATTAGTAACATATTCGCTATCGTCTGTTAAACAGATATTCAATTACGGTCAACCAACTCGTAATGGCGTCCGTAAAATTTACAAAGGAATGATTTCAACATCACCACTTGGAACCTATGATTTAATCGCTTCCTTGTGAGCAACAGCCCTCCAACAAGGAAAACATGATAGGAAATACAAGCCCTGGAATATCGTATCTACTGGGAGATATATACTCCGTATGCAGGTGCAGCTGGAATGTAGCTACCTAGAAATGGAAAGTTCACAATTAAAAAGCTGAAATCATCTCTTTTGTCGTAAAGTTTTGTTTTCAACCGACCCTCATTGTCAATTTCGAGATGTTAGTCAAGATATGAGGCAGACTAAACTGTATCTGTTGTATCCTTTATCTCGAGTTCGATGGGATAGATGCGTTCAACATAGTCACCAAATTTAGAATTATTTAGTGAGAAAACATCATCTATATAGCGAAAAGAAAAGTTAAAGGATACTGCTAACTTCTTTTCTTTCTTCCTAAGAAGTTCCTGTATGAAAAAAGAAAAATCACAAAAATACTGAACTCCGAGGAAAATTCAAAAAGGAAAGTCCCTAATCAAATGGCAAAATCAAAAGCTCAAACACATCAAACGAATGGATAACAACTGTCATATTCCGGACTTGGTACCGGCATTTTCGTATGTAGTCCAGAGGCTCGAAATATGTAGTATAATACGTTTTTCCTCTTAAATTACTGCTAAAATCAGGAGTCGTGATTAACATATTATATGTCTTACACGTGCTCATTTTTTTTTCTGTTTACAAGAAGAAATGATAGGTGTTGATTCACTTGTAGCAGGTGTATTCAAACAGTCGAAAATATTTACGCAACATGGCTTGAATTTATGAAAAGTATCTGAATTTTTAAAGTAGTAATTACCTTCTGGCTGAACGTACGTCAAATCAAGGGTATGAATTCAGCCTCATATGTATAAAGGAACAAGTCGGCAAGAAGGGAGGCACAGTTGGTTCCAATGGGAATGTCGATTGTTTGTTGAAAAACACGTCCTCCAAACGTACCAAATATGTTTTCAATCAAGAAATCAAGCATCTTGATAGTGTCAGTTTCAAGGTTTTTTTGTCAGAATCAGAGTGATTTTTTACAAAGTAGGATTTCAACTGACCCTGATTGTCAATTTCTAGATGTAAGTCAAGATATGAGGCAGATTAAACTGTATCTGTTGTATCCTTTATCTTAAGTTCGATGGGATAGATGCGTTCAACATAGTCACCAAATTTAGAATTATTTAGTGAGAAAATATCATCTATATAGCGGAAACAAAAGTTAAAGGATACTGCTATCTTCTTTTCTTTCTTCCTAAGAAGTTCCTGTATGAAAAAATTTAAATAAAAAAAAATACTGAACTCCGAGGAAAATTCAAAAAGGAAAGTCCCTAATCAAATGGCAAAATCAAAAGCTCAAACACATCAAACGAATGGATAACAACTGTCATATTCCGGACTTGGTACAGGCATCTTCTTATGTAGTCCAGAGGCTCGAAAGATTTAGTATAATACGTTTTTTCTGTTAAATTACTGGTAAAATCAGGAGTCGTGATTAACATATTACATCCTTTTTTGTGTTTACAAGAAGAAATAATAGGTGTTGATTCACTTGTAGCAGGTGTATTCAAACAGTCGAAAATATTTACGCAACATGGCTTGAATTTATGAAAAGTATCTGAATTTTTAAAGTAGTAATTACCTTCTGGCTGAACGTACGTCAAATCCAGGGTATGAATTCAGGCTTATATGTATAAAAGAACAAGTCGGCAAGAAGAGAGGCACAGTTGGTTTCAATGTGAATGCCGATTGTTTGTTGAAAAACACGTCCTCCAAATGTAACAAATATGTATTCAATCAAGAAATCAAGTATCTTGACAGTAAAAATGAGAATGGAAATGGGGAATGTGTCAAAGATATAACAACCCGACCATAGAGCAGACAGCAGTGTCAGTTTCAGAGTTTTTTTTGTTAGAATCAGAGTGATTTTTTACAAGGATTTATCCCTCCCTAGAACAAGATACTTGTATCTACGTTGGCCATTCTTTTTTATGAAACAAAGCAGGACCAACTCTTTCAATTTGTCTTTTAGTTTGGAATGGGGAATACTTGTATAAAGTGTAGAAAAGTCAAATGTTTTAATACTATTGCAAGATGAAAGAGTCTTAGATTGTATGTACTCTAAAAGATCTTTGGAATTTTCTAGTACCCACACCTGATTCACGCCACCTTTAGAATATGTAGTTTCATAATAACTTTCAAGCCTGGCTTGATTGCTGATAAAATTGATGTTAATAATTTAGAAAGAGGTTTCGTGGAGCACTTGGAAGACCCAGCCATAAACCGTTGTTTCTGAGGACACTTATGTAGTTTAGGTATCCAATACAATGATGGAAGATTCAGATTCATCTTTGGTTGAAATTCCAAAGGAACATAGAACAGACCTATGATTATCTAGGATTTCCTTTTTAGAAAGTGTCATGGGGTATATGTTGAGTTTCCAAGTGAATTGTCAATACCTAATTCAGTTATCAAGCAGTTTGTGTAATGTGATTTACACACAAAAACGATGTTGTTTGGAGCTTTATCTGCCGGGACAACAACATATTTGTCATGGAGATAGGACAAGTGTTTTGCAACATTTGGGTCTTTAAAGATTGATGTAGCATGGATATTAATAGACCCATTCAGTTTCTTAATTCTGATTTGTACCAACGACCTCACAGCCTTAATCCATTCGGAAAGAGTATCTACGTCTTCTTTCTCGCGTTTAACCCATTGCCTGGCATAATCCACGACTGAATCCATCAGTATTTTAAAGTTGTGTTTCCAATTAATGAATTTAGGCTCACGATATTTCTGGCCTTTGGATAACACATTTCGCAGAGAAGTGTTATTGACAATATTTAGGTCACCAGTAATAACGTGGCCAACCCGATAATATATAAATGGGGAACTAGCACATGTGCAGTCAGGAGGTCTAGACTTGAAGTCGTCAATATTGAGATCCTGCAACACGTGTTTGTAATTGAAAATTTTAGTTGCAATTGGTTTGGTATAGATATAAGAAATGATAGGTATAGACTGATCTTTAAAATAGGGAGGTATTTCGAGTGAACTGATTTATGATGAAGGATATTGCTCAGGTTGTTGGCATCGAGACCTTTGATGGCAAAGGAAAGTTTAATAAAGGATCTTTTCTCTTTTTCATCTTTTCCAATGCGAACTGGCTTGAAAAGACTGTGATTTGCAATATCCGAAATGATAGCTGTAAGTTTGTATTGGTTTGAATAAGGGTTTGTAACAGTGGTTTCCAAACATAAGTTGTACAGAGAATGAAGTTTTGAAAAGGGTAATGAAGGAATCTTCGTGCGACTGTGATGAATACCTAACCGTTTTTGTATAAATGGCAGCAGTTCATTAATAGAGACATCATGGTGAGTAGGTGATGTATAATGACGATGACCATGATATATAGATATTGAAGTTGCAATTTATTCGGACTCGGATGCATGAATACTTTGTTGTTGTTGTTGTTAAAATGGCCTTTGAAAGCTAGAATTACCTAACAATGTATAAGACAGAACAAAATTGTTGCGACATCGTTCCACATTGCATAGATTAAAGTTATAGGTTGCACTTCTGTAAATATAGACGATGC